TTCAACCCGTTTAGGATCGATCTATTCGCGACCTCGGCCTGCCCATTCGCTTGGGGGTGGGCGACCGAAGCAAACTGTTGTTTGATGCCTATCTCCTCGCACCAACTCATCGTACGCCGACCTTAGAGTCCTCATTGCTATCAACTTCTTTGTGGCTTGGTCACAAAGCCACTTTCAGGCTCTCTCTTCGGTGGAACCCTCAGGTCGGGTTGCCTAAATGCCGAGGTGGTCCCTTTGGCGGTACCCTCGATGGTACCCTCGGTGGTACCCTTAGTGATGTCCTCGGTGGTACCCTTTGCCTGAGTTACCCAACTGCCTAACTGTCGAAATGCCTAGCTGGCTCTCTCCATACGACGGTGACGACCGGATCACAACCGGTCCTTCACGAACCGCTACTAAGCTCCACATCAGTAGTTTATAATTATAAAAACATGTATGATGTTTGAGAGGAGGGCCAGTGGCAATCAATATAGGTGAATCGACAAGGGATAGCTAAAATGATGAACTAGTTTTATTTAAGACTTGGCAATAATAGGTTTGCACTTTGCAGGAGTAATGGTCTTCATGTCACAATAAAAGTCAATTACAAAACCATTAGATATGTCACAGGAATGGATTGGATTGATTATTGAGGAATCCATTTGTAGCCACTAAATTTGCTTAGTATTTAGGTATTCTATCCCCCTCCTCTCTTTCATCTTAGCCTTGTGTCTCTACCTCTCCTTTTGCTTTATTTTTCCTTTGTTCTGTTTCTTCTCCCATTTTTTTTTATCCCACAGCTACCTATAGCCGGCCGGTCCCCTGTCCCGACGGCCACCTCCATCTCATCGGTTGCCCCAACTGATTGTGTTGAAGGTGTCTTCCGGCGCAACAGCAATTATCAAGGTTAGTAGATGAAATAATATGAAGGGGTGCACTTTTTCTCTATGGCCATTTTTCATAATAATAATCAACTGTTAGAAGTTAACCAGTTTCTGATAGCAATTTTTACTAGTGGATAGTATTACATGTTCTCACCAGCAGATATGATTAGTTATTTGTGTGAAGTAGTTGGTAAAATAACTTAAAGGTAAATAATATTTTTGTGTCACAATAAATTATGTTTCCTATTTTATTTATAACTTTGAATACTGAAAAATTCAAATAAATAAGTATACATCAATTCTAAATAGAAAAATTAGTCCATTTAATTATTTTATGATAAAGGTGCCAACAGTAAGCTCAAAAAATTATTCCACTTAGTGCCCCCACCCCCACAAGTACCAACAGTAAGCACAAAAAACTAATTTTGAATAAAATGATACCCAATTGGAATCATTTATATTTGATTCGACCAATATCAACAAACTTACCATAGTGATGAAATTTGATAGTGATAGTTTGTGAATTGGAACCTGAAAAATAACACATGTATTCAAAAGCAAACAAAAAATTATTGAAAATCCTTTAAAAAATCTTTTAATCATTTTTTTTATATATATAGGGCCATGGATCTTGTTAACTAGCAGTCATACAAAATTTAAGCATCATTACATTTTGCAAATAAAAAATAAAAAATAATAATAATAAATAATAATAATAATAATAAAAATATATTGGGCTACACCCATGATTTGGGTGTCGAAAAAATGTATGAGAAGGTGGACTAATAATAATAATAATAAGTGCAATGAAATAGTTTAGCATTAATTAGATATGGTGGATTAATAATAATAATAATTATAATAATAATAATAATAATAATAATAATAATGATAATAATAATCGAAGATTGTAACATAAAAAGATGGTAAACAATAATCAATATTATTATATTTATTATTAGTAATTAAATATAGAGATAGATATAAATGATAAAGTTTGTAATGGTTTTTGGAGGAATATTGAAATGAGATTTTATTAAATGCTATTAGCCAGCAATTATATATACTAGTATTCATCCTGTGCACATGCACAGATGTACATAAAATATTATAAGTAATATGTGTGAATTTAATATTAAAATTCTAGATAATGGACATACCACATTTTCAAGATTTAATCATTAGTAAAAATAAATAATATTGATATAAATTATTTGAGTACATATGAATCACTATTTGATGAAAAACATTTGTGGGTAATGTAATTTTTATAATTTGGAGGGTTCGTGGTCAAATAATTTACTTGAAAACTTTAATTGTTATTATTATTATTATTATTATTATTATTATTATTATTATTATTATTATTATTATTATTATTATTTTAATTATGTATTTCATGAAACAATTTTCTTTAAAAATAATTAATAAATAGTTTTAATAGTATTGTAAAAATACATTAAAATCTTATAAACAATTGTCGTTGTAATAAAAATAGTAGTAGTAGTAATAATAATAATAATAATAATAATAATAATAATAGTAATAGTAATAATAATAATAATAATAATAATAATATCATAATCTATATATATAATTGCTAGCAAAGCAATTAATAAAACCCTTTTCGTTTTCCCGCCTTTTTCCGTTACTTTTTTGCATTAATCACTATTATATTTTTTACTTATTTATTATATAATTGCTACTATTAACTAATAATGAAGACACATTAAATGTTATTCTATTCTAAATCTTTTTTAAACTATATATTTAAAATTGTTATTTTTATTTTTTTCACCTCATTAAAACAAATTTCTTTTATTACAATTAATTAATTATCTTTTATGGCATAACCAAACATTTTAATGATTTGTACACAAATGGTATAATAATAATTTCAATATACTTTTATCCAATTAATTATCATAATCGACCAAGATTGTATAAATTTAAAGATTAATATGTAGGGTAAATAGTTTATATTTATATCGTCATTATAGTAATGATAAAATTTATATATGTGATATGCTAATTATCTAATTTATCATTTTTAAATTTTACATAAAACATGTATATAATGTATAATATTTAAAATTTTATTTGCATATGTGCATGTGCACAGGGTAGAATACTAGTAATAGTAATAATAATAATAATAATAATAATAATAATAATAATAATAATAATAATAATAATAATAATAATAATAATAATATCATTCATAAAACCTAATTAAGTGTAATCATGTATTTATAAAACTTAATTAATAAAACATATTTATCTTCCCTCCAAAAGAAGTTACAAAATTTGTCATTCGTATTTTGCCTTTCACATTAATACACTCTGTAAAGCGTAATCATGTGTTTTTTTGCTATTATATTTTATAATAGTTAATTTCAAGATATTATTATTATTATTATTATTATTATTATTATTATTATTATTATTATTATTATTATTATTATTATTATTATTATTATTATTATTATTATAGTAGTAGTAGTAGTTAATGCTAGTTTTTTGCTATTATATTATAATAGTTAATGCTATTAATTTTTTTACATGATTAAACTTAATAGGATGTATTAATGTGAAATGCAAGATATGATTGCCAAATTTTATAACTTCTTTTGGAGGGAAAATTAATGTGGTTTTATTAATTAGGTTTTATTTATTAGATAAAATTAATTGGTTAGCTAGTAATAATATATATATAGATATAGATGTTGATATGTGTTCTTGCAGTACAAAAAGTAAAATATAAATGATTAGTAACGGTTTAATGCTGATTTGATTTTGTAGTAAAAATAGAAAATAAATGATTAGTAACGGTTTTAGGCGGTTTAATGCTGATTTGATTTTGTAGTAAAAAAATAAAAAATAAATTATTAGTAACGGTTTTAGGCGGTTTAATGCTGATTTGATTTTGTAGTAAAAAAATAAAAAATAAATTATTAGTAACGGTTTTAGGAGAGAATATGCCACGTAGGTATAATTTAAGAGGTTTTCTTAAATGCTAGCAGCCGGTAATTATATATATATATATAGATTTCTAAGAATGATATATCACTCTTAGAAGTCATACACCATCCATGATTTATCATTCTTAGAAGTCACACACCATCCTGTAAAGGCGACCTGCTTTTGCTGGTGACAGGACTAAATCTCAGGTTTTTTTGGCACTTACGGGTTGTCATCTAAAAGTTTGTAACTTAGAGGACCAAACCTAAAATTAGTGTCACTTATAAGACGAAATCTCCAATTTTTCCTCTGGGTGTTCATGTTGAAAAAAAGAATTAGTTGGATTCTAATCCGTCAACCCATGTCGTAATTTCTTTGTATTAAGCAATGATTTGCTTATTTGAGCATTTGTATTAGCAATGATTTGCTTGAGAAAATAAAGAATTTAGATGAATGCGGGTACGGGAAGGGATTTTGAGAAAGTAGCTGTTAAGAAAAGAATTAAAAATGAAACTTTTCATATTAATTTGTGCTTGTCTTTTTTTTTTTTTTTT